TTTTTTTTTTTTTTTTTTCTTTGAATATTACATTATACATTTCATCGATGTAATTTCCACGCGATTTAACGCACTTTCACGACAATAAATCAGCTGTTTCATTATTTTATAGTCGTATAAATTATTAGTTCTAGGATTTGGAAATTGATCGATTCTCTTCAAATAATTAAATGATGTAGAAGCGAAAGATGTAAATTTTTATTTAACACGATTCACAGGTAGTCAACTATGTCTCAGAAAAATTCAGTTACCTGTATCCCTAATCTATCTTAAAATTTACTGTTACTCGTAGTAAATTATTCACAGTCATTTTCGTTCTGCTAAATAAACTCGTCGAGTAAGTAAATCACCTGTCTGTGAGAAAAAAAATTTCTTTATACAACACGCAGATACAATTCAAGACAACTCAATAAATAAAACATCCCGGAGACTTTTTTCTTCACAGGGGACACCGTCGTATCGATTAGTCAAATACAGACGATTACACGTTCGCGACGAACGTTTACGAGACGGACGACACAGATTCGTTCCATGTACCGTCTTTTTTTTTTTTTTTTTTTCTTTTTCGTTCGCCCTCGCTATCGTGGATTATGCGAGAACAGCAGTTTTTGTCGGCGCTCGAGGAAGAAACTCGATCGACGAAAGCACTCTCGTCCCAGCTATATCTCAGTTCCGTTCTTTTTTCACCGTTCGGCGGCCGATAGTCACGATCCAGACACGTTTCACTTTGCTGGCATTTTCTATTGTAATTTAATGGTCTTCTTCGGCACGCCAGCTTTTATTTTCTTTCTAGCGGCTACACGGCCGCCTACCCCTTCGCTCGATCTAACAAGGTGAGAACGAGCATCGTGGTCGAACACAAGAGAGAACTCGGCGCGCCGCGAACCGTGTAAATCCGGCATCTATTATTCCCACGTTTCCTAGACCGTGACGGTTATTCGAAACATCAAAATGCTCGATCAAGTGGGAGTTCTCTCTCTCTCTATCTCTCGATGCTTTGAGAACGCTTCTTGCATTTTTTTTCCCCCCCTCTGGTCTGTTCGCACTTTTCTCTACGGGGGATCATAGGGCAGATCTCCCTCCCCGCAGTTGCTTTTCAACTTTCTCCAATTATTCCGCGAACCGCGAGAATTACGATGCCGCGTCGTCGACACTTTCGTAGAAAATAAGCCGATTCCTTATCAACGTGAACCGTGTAGAGGAACCGTATAGAGTTCCTATTATTGTTGCACAGTGACTTAAACTGCCGTTTAACATTCGCGTCACTTTACAAAACTGTTGTCATGCCGTGAAAAGAGATTTCTCACAACAAGAACGAAGAACTTGGGCTCGTTTTCACACCTTCAAAATCTATCGTTCGTTATCGAGAATTGTAAATTATCATGAAAACCTCGGCCTTGTAACAATTGCTCAAAACTTGCTGTACGATTTTCTTCGTCAATTTATTGAACTTTGACTGTCGATGAGAATGTTATTGTTTCTTAAAATATCGTCATCTGAGCCTAATTTCCAGAACCTAAAAGTTCGACAAAATGAAGGAGATCATGCGCCAGGTTTTTAGGTACCATTGTAAGGAGCACTATGAGATTTCAATCTTCAAATTCACTGTAGTTTCAGCCATGAAGGAAATTTTTTCGATGGCTTTACATACTACAATAATTTATAGTAGTCTCCATTTATTCGCTCACTCGCAAAAACATTTTAGAATAAAATGAACGATGCATTTTGAAAGCAGAGGCTCCAAGATTTAAAATTGTACAATTCGTTTTACAAAATTATAACAGTTTCAATATTTAGTGTTCAAATATCAATGGAGACCACCAATATTATAATTTTTGACAAAGAACATTTCAGCATATTTAGTACATTTCAATTTTTCTTTCTAATTGTCTTTAATTTTCCTTTGCTTTCGTTCAATTAATTCACGAAAACCTTGACAGAGTTTTGACAAAGTGTTGTTCATAAAATCGCGCGCTGAGTAAAATAATCAAGCCTGTAAGAACATTAATGTGCATTTAATTGTAGTATAAGGAATTTATAAATTAACTTGACTCAAGAAGATGCCTGTTGCTTAAAATTGTAAACATCAACTCATCATTGGAAATGGCATCATAGTCGATGAGACTGAAAACGAATCGTGATAGTTTAGATATTGTTTTGTCTGTGATGATTCTTTTCAGTTCCATTTTAATCGTCTAACGTCTAAGCAGGAGCGTGATTACGCAGGCTGATATCAACAAATGGTTCTGCATTCCTCGCGCATTCCTTTTGGCGAACCACAGCCACGGTGACATGCTTTTGCGTTTCGATTTTATAGCCGGACATGAAATCAAAGAAACGATTCATATAAATGTAGGATAATTCCATTGAAAAATAATGCAAGTATTTCTCAAACTTTAAAGATAAACCTAACCTAAAATAATGTCAAATATATACCTAACATAAATATAAATACTAATATAATTACGTACACACACATATGTTGCGTTTCTCAGACAAAAAAATAAAAATAAGTGACTGAATAATTATAATACTAGTATCGAATGATTAATAATATTATAATTATTTAGTATTATTATAATACAATAATATACTAAATAATTGTGACATATTGAAACATACAATACTAAATATTGAAATATATTGAATAATTTTTTTCTTGGGTCTCGACGAGTTCATTTTTTTTTTTTCGAAAAGAATCCTTAATTAAAGTAGTCCAGCTGAGTCTTCCGGCGAAATTCTGGGGCACAAGTGAATAAATGAATACGAATCGTGATATTTGGGTCCATTTTCAATTGATCGTCCCTCTTGGAGGATCGTAAAGTCTCGTTAAATCGAGCTTGTTCCCTCTGCTCCACGAATCAGTCTCTTCCTCTCTCTCTCTCTCTCTCTGTCGTTTTCTGGTTGCTCTCCGTTGGTATATCTACGTTAGTGTTCGAAACTGAGAGAGTTTCCAGCGAGGCAGCGATAAAATACGACGTGGTCGAGAACGGCCGCGATTAAAGCCCGTTCGCGAGCCGAGGGAACGGAGCAGAACGACGTCCGCACCAGAGGCCACCTGTCCTGGTCTCCCCAATCGATGTTTCCGTTCTCCGTTGCGCTCTCTTGCTCCCGGGCCACGCTGCGTCCTCGTAAATCGGTACCCCGTCGCCGACTGGCTGACCCGAATCGAGATACCGGCCGGGGCAACACGGTTTTTCATTTACGCCGCTTTCGTTCTCGTTTTGACACGAGGTCCCTTCGTCGGAGGACAGGTTTCGGCGATATACGAAACATACACTTGACACTGTGCAAAACCATGATCATCGGAATGACGATCGATAATATTTCGGTAATATTTCATAGAAATTTTGATGGATTTTTAGAGGCTTGAATGATTTTTTTTCTTTCTTTCTTTCTTTTTGTGAAACGTGGCAGATATGAATTAAGCGCGTTGCAAATTTTTCCTTTTATTCTTTGCATTTTATTTTGTAAAATAAATAAATGTAGTAACAAAGTGTAATAAAATTTCCTTGGACTTTTATATTTTTAGTCGTTCTGATATTAAATCTGAGTTCCTTGAATAATTGCAATAAAATTACTCGGTCTGCAATCGAGTTTGTCGCCGATAGAGGCTCATGCATCCTTCTTCTTGCTATTTTTCAATGTCGAAATAATATTTGTAATAATAAAAGTTCAACGAAGATTTATCGATTCAACAGAGATTTATTGATTCCTCCTGTTATTGTATTACAATATCAATAATTTCCAAAATTTATTTCACAACGTACTTCAATTCAAGTTAAATGAGCATTAACACCGATCTGTGAAATTGGAAACAATCGCGTGCAGCGTCACGTCTTGCTTGGGAAGAAGAAGTAGCAAAGGAAGAGGCGAAGAAAAAGAAAAGAAAGGAAAAGAGATGGCGCGAAGAGAGTCCGGCGAATGGAGATCACCGGTCACCCGG